ATCATTATGTTAAAAACTGATATTTTGTGCATTTGGCGTCTGCATAGTGTAGGCCAAATGAAACTGAAGTTAGTGCATAAGCTTCATGATTGAATACAGCAGTCTGACACAGCTGCGGAGTCTCTTTGCCGGTATCCGGGATCAAACGTAACGGAAGATACGCTCATAATCGAAAAGAGCAGTCCTAATAAGTGGAAAACGATGTTCCCGACACGCTTTGATGAGCCGACTACGTCTGGATTGCCATATTTTGAAGATTTCGAGCGCTGGGCGTGCTTCTTAAAGGGTTTTCGAAGGATTGACTCTTTGTCACATCTGTATCTTGTTTAGACTTTAAGAGCATTTTACTGTTTATATGTAATATGGTTTGTTACCTGTTGTAGTGCTACTCAGAGATATACACAGATCGAAAATTTTTGTCTCATCTTGCCCGATGTAGAAAGATTGCTGTTCAAGTTCGACCGGTCAGATACGTGCATCTTTAATGAACATCGTTAACTAAATTTTAATTTTTGATCCTCTTTCTGTCACGATAAAATCACTCGTGGCTCGATGAAAATACTTTTCGGCTCGGTCTGATTACTCTTTAAAAGTTTTCTAGCCCGACGTAGCCCATGTGGTTTCTGCGGTCTCTGATGTTAGTGCATCAACTCTAATATAATATACTCTCATTGAAAGATAATATTTTTATTTCTAATATATATATAGTTTATAGTATTACTTTTACTGAAACAAGAGCAATTTCAATATATCCAGATCTGATTTCTAATTAGAAGACAAATTGATTAGTCTCCATTATAAAAGATGCGTTTTCCGCGTTCTCAAAAAAACTCATTCAAGTTTTTTAAGAAAGAAAAAGAGGTTTTTAAGTTTTAATAAAAAGCGAGTTTTTTTTTCTTTTGCAAATAACTGATGACTACTAGTTCTAGCAGTACATAAACATAACAGAGAACAAAAAACATTGGGTGATATGTACAACATTCTCTTAAAAATAATTAATAGTTAACAGACAATGAATATATCTATAGTTTTAACAAATTTTTCTATATACTTTTAAATATAAAAATATCACATGATACTATATATCTAACATGATTACGAGCACAGAACACTTAGAACGTTTCCTAACCAAGCCTTCCTAAACTCATTCACATTTAGTTGTTTAAATAAGAATTCACCGTCAATTGAATCTGATAGCGCTGTCAAATATCTATCCCAATACCTCATACATCTATCCTCAAGAGAGATTTCATCGAATACAAAGGCAAAAAAGATATCTGACTAGTGAAGGTAGAACGTAATCCGTTTGAAATATGTGTAGTAAAAGTATAATAAATCATTACACTGTTTTTCTAATAAAAAGCGAGTTCTTTGCACGTTTCAACTCTTCAGAATTGAACACAAGTTTTTTACAAGTCTTTCTTTTATTTCTTTAAATATTTTAGAACTTTTATTTTGTACTTTAGTTGACAGTGACATGTTAAGATCTTTCTGTTCTAATCTTACTTAGATATCTCGAAACTTTTAGTTTTCTATATTTATCAATTGATAATATCTTTGAAGATCGATATAGATCACGTTATCATTGTTCCATGGATAAGAGAAAAAACATGAAGAATACACAATGAATTTTTTAATTTGATGTTTGTTAAGAGAATGAAAGTCTCAAATCCAAATAGGAATCTAAAAGAATAACTTACCATACTACATATTGGACAGATGAAAAAACATACAAAAACTTCTTGTTTTTTCCCCTGTGTAGTTTGTTTTTTTATTTTTATTTTTTTACGTCTTTCTTGATCAAAACATTTATCAAACCAACGAAAAATGGCTATAAAGAATATCAATTTTACTTTTTTATTTACTAACACGAGAGTATAGAACAGTATTGAAAGAATTAAATGTACATTGTAAGATATTTAATTGTTAGTAGAGAACAAGTGTTGACCTATCTTCTATAAATTATAACATTTACTGTTATTTTTATGACGAATCAGAAATATTTCGAATAGTCATACACACACACATATACTAGTACAATGTAAGTAATATTATAATATGACTTCCGTTTTGTTATATTATGAACTAATTAAACGTGTTTTTCATTTGTACTTGTTTGTTACCATTACTTCCTATGTTGAGTGTAAATGCCCAAACTATCAATTAAAAGAGAAGAAGAAAATCTGTTTTTTCAAATGTCTATTGCGCCTCCTTTGAACGGAAGTTTTGTTAATTGATAAATAGTATTATATTACAAAAAGCTTTTTATCATTACATGAAAAGGAAACGAGGAAGTATGGCATATATTTACGGTTTTACTGTATTTTTTTTCTTTTACATTAAACTTGTCTCATCATGTCTTTGAATACTGTCAAGGTGGAACTTTCGTGCATGTTCATAAGCATTGTCCCTTGAATGATGTACGATCTTATGAATGAAACATGTTTTTAGAACAGATTTGAAGTCGTGTTCATAAATGATATGAATTGTTGAAATCGGTCTATCTACAGACGAGAAAGACTGTTAGATATGGTATTAGTTTCTATCGATAAATGTAGAACGAGAATAGAGAAATTGAATACAATGGGCCTTTTAAAGGTGGACCACCAGAACAAAATCAGCCAAAATCTTACTAGTTAAGAAAGACATATTTAAGTTGGTACATGAATCTGAGTTTAGAATTCTTCGATAAATTTTTAGGTATTTTCTAGAACATTTCTTGAATCCTCTAAACACACATGATTTTCTAAGATCTTGTTTTTTTGCAAAATCTAGTCTAATTTTTGACAAACAGATTCCTAGGTAGAGTTTTTGTTAACAGTAATATCTTTTTTAATTAGAAGTACAAAAAATTCTTCTCTATCTTGAATTATGAAACGATAATTTATTTTTGCTTGGAAGAGAACAAAACTACGCCGCATGCTGCGAGAAAATTGTTAAAGTCGGCTCTATTCTCTTCAAAATTTAGATTTTTATGAAAGTTTTTTCGAGATATCCACAGTTTCTCACTTTTAAATGCGATAAATAACACAAATAAACTAGTAATTTCGATAAGATTGAGTATTTACATTGATTTAACACCATCGTGACATTTCTAAAACATAATCTAAAAACAAAATTTTTGTAATACTTGTAAGGTGTATTTTGTCTCTTATTTTCTCCAATTTTAGCCACAGTTCTAGGTAGATAGATAAAGCATCATTCAATATCATGTGTCCTTACTGAAATATAAAATAAAAAAGATTTTCTTGCAAGTTATAAAGGATCCTTTTGTATTAGTTGAACCTCATACGATAGTAACAATCACAATGGGAAACAATTCATACAGTGTAATCTCTAATTTTGTGAACCCACTCTACGACGGTCGGACGCGCCTATTTTACATCGGCACACATCTGTGTACTTGTAGATTTGTTGAGTGCAGGCCCTATTTCTACAGTGATTGTAAATTTCACGATAATCGTGGTCCATGTTAGAGTGACCAGGTCTATTACTACGTACTGTTGTTATCAACGATAATTGATCATGGAATTTTGAGAACAGTATCTACTAACATGTTTTATGGAATTTATCCATTTGTGGACGAATAAACATTACTGAATAAAATTTATTAACTGTCGAAATTAAAAACTCTTATTTCAATCTTTTGTCTGTAGTTTCTAAAGATCCAAATTCCAGAGACTGATCTAAAATAGGTTTTATGATAGACAGATTCATAAAACAGTAGTCCCATTTATTCTATTTAAAAAAGTTGTTGTTAATGGGTAAATATACTATGAATATACTGAACTATGAAGTAAGTTTTGTAACACTTCTGTTTTTTTGTGCCATTGTTTGACTATTATCTGAAACCTGAACTACTTCAAAAACATAATAATATTTTTATGTATAAGTAAAAGTAAATATAAATAATATTTTTTATTAGCAAATAATGTAGTCAATCAAAAAGGATCAAAATGATCATATAAAAGAACGGTTTAATTAAAATGATTTTGTAAACAACACAAAACAGTCAAAAAAAAAACAAAGTGTCATTAAACTGTATAGAACATCATAAAAAAAACAAATTTTTTACTAAAACAAGAAAAAATATTAATATTTATCACAAAGACGTGGTAAATTTAGTTTTAAATTCACATACAGATATAATTTATCAAATTTTGATAATCTAACCTCATAATATTTCTTTTAAATGAACATTTTTTTTTCTTGAATAACCATTATTTTTTATTTCTCATTTAAATGAGATTTTATTAAATATTGTTCTCGACAATTTCTGTTACTGAAATAGTCATTTCTTTCATGTATAACACTCTGATGCGTAAGATTTTTTGTATATATATTGCTTCTAAACCCACTAATTCAAATTCATCCATGAGATCAATTTAATGATAACCTTTTAGTAATGAGTTCAAAATAAATTTTTATCTATAGAATAGAGAAATTGAGTTTTAATGTTGAATTTAAAAAGCACTTTTAATAAAATATAACTAGTTTAATGAATCGTTAGATTTTTCTTCTGCTTCCTTCCGGTTTTTCATGATACACAGTGTACATTTCTTGCTCTCCTTGAGGCTATTGTTGATTTTTATTGTTTAAAAATGATGAAAAGATACTTGAAAAAAATTAATTAATTTAAAATATGTTTGCTTAATCGTTTATGACATTAAAAAGAAGTCAAAATTGTTTTGAACATTGATTTTATTTACTTCCTTAACTCATATTGTAGTAGAATTGTCTAAAACAATTTATTTTCTGATTTGATGAATGATTGATCGATCAACATCAATTATATTATCAAATTTTTTATTAGAGACATTGTCGACATTAGTAGTCTCTCTTTTTCATTTTGTCATTTCTACATACGACAATCGAGCGTTTTAGAACTGTGAAAGATTTTTTCATCTTTCAAATATCTTAGAAAACTTATACATTTCTATTTGAATTCAACTATTTTTATGAAAATAGTTGAATTATTTTTATAAATTAGATCGTTTTCAATGAGTACTACGGTATGTAGTCAATGACTAGATATATATCATTTAGAATCGGATCAAAATGTTGTTGACTATAGAGAACAACTTCTGTCTGTTTAATTCAGACAATCTTGTCTGACAAAAAACTAATAAAACTTTTTTTATTCAACTATGACATTGAAAGGTGAAGACAAGAATAGTGTATTATTCTAATTCAGATTAACTCTTTATCCCTTCCCGGTACTATAGCAAATATCAAAATCCTTAGCCAAAACTGTCATGCTATACTTGGACTCTAGCGTTCCGTTAGATCCAACAAGTTTTTGCTAAAAAAGACCCACTAATCGCACATCATTCGATACAGTTTCTTGCGCTGATTCCGAATATGTAATTTTTGTTGAATAAAAACGTTTTCGAACCGAGAAAAATGAAAAATGCCTGAAAAACTCAGGTTTTTTGGAAAACCCGCTGTATGCTTCAGAAACTTTTGCGCATTCACCGTAGATGCAGGGCATATAGAAGAACATTCTATGAAAGTTTGGTTAAGTTTGGACCTTCGCTAACTTTCGCGCACTCACTTTACTAAACTTAGCCCTTCGGAAAATCGCTTGAGAAAATTCTTTTTAATTTTCTCAGCTATCATAAGTCTAATTTAAAATTTTCTTTTTACTGATCTGTAGCTGATGTCATGCAGATTTAGAATATATGTGGGTTTTTATTACAGCTTCATTGACTGCTATGAAAATTTCATTTTTTTCACTTATACTAATATTTCAGGTTAAGGTTTGATTAGCTATTTTCCCGCGATATATAAATTTTGTAACAAAATTTGTTGTGTCATCAAATAGAGTATTACTTGAAGTATATTAATCATTATTTGAATCGTCGAAAAGTTGATTTTCATTTTTTCACCTAATGTCCGCCTGGATGCACACTGTGCCCCCCTCGACCCTCCAGGCAACTGATCATACAAAACGAACTTAATTTCCTATACCTTTGACTGTCAGCTTATAATAGAAAAAAAAAATCCGTTTTTTTGATACGACACATCGTCACTTTGTTATTATGATTCTCCGATGTTCAGTAATGTCTACTCCTGTATTCTATTCGGGAGTGAAGAGTTAATTAGTCCTTTGTACGACTGATCATAATTCTTCATATTCCTATTCACTCATCTTGTATATTATAGAATTGAGTGAATAAAAAGTTTCATTGAAACTTGAAACTGTATAAAAAGAAATGAAAGTGACAGCTAAGTATTTTTAATATATTAACATAAGAGAAAAATAAAATAATAAGACAACAAATGAACAATGTTTATTGAGCAAAAAAACATCTCCATCAGGTTTCTGTTTTTATATTAAAATTGAAATATGATCATCTATTGAAATGTATCAGTAAAAATAAGAACAGAAAAAAAAAAAAAGTGGATGTTAATTGTAAACGAAATAGTCAAATTTCAGATGGAGGGAAGGAACATCTACTAACATTATTTATCATCAACACTTTTTTTTTTGCATGAATAAGGTAGTCTAATTTGAGAGTTAGTTGATTAGTTGGATGATTATACTCTATTTTCTATTTTAGTCTAACTCAAAACAAGAATATGTATTCTTTTGGACAAAAAATTTTATTCTATTTTTATCCGGTGGTGTTGCTCTATTTGCTTGTGTGACATTATTCGCAGTGGTAAGTAACACAATTCAAAAAATATGTTTAATATAGATAACTTTTAACGTATATAGTTTTATGATTGTATAAAATTTTAATAGAGAAATATTGAGAAGATCTATCGTTGAGTTATGAAGGACAATCTGTTTAACCACATCTTCTCAATAGTCATCAAAATAATATGAACGAGTAGTTTACAATCGACCTTGGATGTGTCTGTACGTTTTATTTTGAAAATTTTTATTTGTCTGATAAATTATTTTTAAAAAATAAAATTTGATAGAAACGTTTTTCAGACAAGAGAAAGCAAATTTTGTATGAAAGCAGGAAGTGTGTATGTTACAGTTCAAATTAAAATTCTACTAGTGGAAATTAAAATTTTAATTTCTACTTATGGAAAATAAAATGCAGATGCCTGCACATGAACTGAAGCCATGTATTCTCCACAAACTAGGTTTTGAAGTGTAAGATCGAGCCCCGAAAAAAAGGAACCATCTAAGAAACCAGGATTCCGATTTGTCACAAGAATCGAGAATTGAACATTCCTACTTGGAATGCCCTCGGATGTTCATGCCAAGATATTTTGTTATTAATATTTATCTATAAAATTTCTTACAGCCATAAATTACATTCTGAAAGTTCATTGTCATAAATATGTTTGTTACTTTCGTAATTAGAAACTAATTTTAATCGTTATTTAAGGTTTATTGGTGTGCAAAACAACGTAAACCAATAGCCAAAGGAGGATCATCAAAAAAATCATTCAAGCAAATACCGACGACGCCGGTGCCATCATCAGTAAATAATAATGGTGGCAATAATATATCAACAAGACCAAAAGAAATTACATTATATCCGATTCTACCTAAACTTGGACAAGGCACTTTTGTTCAACCGTTTACAGATAATAGTTCATCAGCATCTTCAAATATGGCTAAAAAATCTCGAAAGAAAAATTTACTTGAAAGGTATGTCTCATTTTTTTTCTATATTTAATACTCTACAGTCATTTGACAATTAGTATAAAGGATGGCCCAGAAGTTCTAACCTGATTTGAATAATAAATTTTTCTATAGTGAAACAAGTGATAGTAAATTTGTCTCTATGAAGAAAAGATGCAGTAAAAAACGCTCTACAAGATGACTATTGAACTCATCTGGTAAGAAAGTTATAGGTTTAGAAATATGCTTCACAAAAAAGAAAAATCAACCGGGAATCCGGTCTCGGTATTTTTGCTTTAACTCCTGTTCCTTAGATTCCCTAGAATAAGTTCTTTTTTTAATAGAAGCGGCGTGAAATTCTCTACAAAATCCTTACTTAAACTTTAATTTCAGAACTTCAATCAAGAAAACTAAGCAAATTATACACGAGGCGAAAAAAATAAAAACTTTGTAAATTTGGTTTGTTTTACTTAACCTTCTTCTTCTATTATTTCCGTAAAAAAGCGGAGCAAAAGCGACAACATAAGTTGTGTTGGGTACTTTCAAATGTGCTCTTTCTTGTGCTTTGTAAAAAGACTTTTTGCAGATGGTGTGCTCGAAAATCAAGTGTCAAAAATATGTCAAAAACCGTTTCCAACAGTGTACCCTGCAAGAAACGGAAAACGTGATCGAAGTTTTGATGTTGCAACTAGGTAGAGAGGAGCAATCATCTCCGATCAAAGCAAAACAAACCCGATCGAAAAACGTTTTGTTTTGATGAAGTTATGGGACTTTTACTGAAAGTACCACCGTATGGACCGAGTTCACGGTTGATTTTTCTTTTTTGTGAAGCATATTTCTAAACCTATAACTTTCTTACTAGATGAGCTAACAGGGCCAATCAATAGTCATCTTGTAGAGCGTTTTTTACTACATCATTTCTTCATAGAGACAAATTTACAACCACTTGTTTCACACTAGAAAAATTTATTATTCAAATCGTGTCAGGACTTCTGGGCCACCCTTTATAGACCGAAATTAACAAAACGTTTTTCTTATTAAGAAAAAGATGTTTTACATGCTGTTAATAATGATTTTATAGTAAAGAAAAGATTCAATGCTTTAATATATTATATGTAATGTTTAAAAGAAAAGATTTTATAAAGCTTTCAAAGTCGAAAACAGAGTAACTTCCGTTAAATAATGTGCTTAAGATCACATTGTGTGATTAAAAAGCCATCACTTAAAATATTTACATAAACAGGTATGAACACATAGAAAACTGTGTACTTTCACTGTTTTTCGATAAGTGTCATCGAGTTTGATTTTATGAAACAAACATTGTTTTCTTGTTGAACACAATAAACTTTCATTTTGTTTATCCATTCATAGAAGAATAATATGGTTTCTGTTAAAATGTATAAAAGTGCCTTTTTATTATATTCATTAATGGAGAATATCGATAGTAATATATTTATTCATATAACTTCTAGGATTGCTTTAAATTGAAACAAATATTATGATGAACCTGATAAAACGAAAAAAATGTACTTTTTTTGTCTACGAACAACGTAGTTTACCGATAATCACTATTAAAAGTTAAAGAAGTACTCTTTTCATTCGTCATTAGATAAACATTTAGATGTCGTATGATACACTGACTACTTGTTGATTAATCTCAAAAATGGTGAGAAAGATTGAGTCATCTATCAACAAGAGTCGAAATAGATTATTTTTTCCCACGTAGATTTTCTCAACAAATATTTGAATAAATTTGTTTTCAACATCAAATATAAAAAAAAAAAGTGTCAAAAGTCAAATTATTAAAAAAATATATTTGACATGGTTTTGTATTTCATTTAACTGATTTTTTAATTTACTTTGAGTAGAGTAATTTGACAAACAGTGTGTTTTTATTCGTAGAATTTATATGAGAGAAAGAAAATAAAAAAAAGTAAAAACGTGTGGGTGTAACAAAAAATTTATAGAGTTTATTATAGAACTTGTTAACCCTTTATCTTAGACGTGGACATTATTAAACATTGTAGAATCGCTATAACAAGATGATCATACATTGCATGTAAAAATGGATTTTTTTTTTTCTTCCAAAGATAAGCTGACACTATTTTCTAATTAGAAAGCTTTTTTTTTCCATCAAATCTAAACTCAAGATATATGAGTTTTCAAATTTATTTTACATAATCAGCTACCGGAGGTAAAAGATTAAGTACAATGGGTTTACTATAAAAATTTAATTATAACTGTGTATAATGAAGAAAAAAAAAAAATTAAAATAATGTAAGAATCTATATAATATTCTATATTGAAATATTTATTCTAATCACTATATTATACAATTAGAGTATTTATATAAATAGGTAGTAGAAAGCTACTATTTATTAATATTTTTTTCATTTTTTATCTTGTGGTTCTTTTTTATCTTCTTTCTAAAATCTATAATCAAAAGTGAAAAGCTTCTTTTACGCCCCCCTCTTCTATCCTTCAAACCATGTACGAATATGATATATATATATATAATGGACTTTTGTAGACTTAAGCAGAGAACAATAGAATGAAGAAGAAGAAGAAGAAGAAAAGAAAAAAGTGTAAAAAATAACCCTGAAAGAAAGTGGTAGGATGACGATGACACATACATACACCTAGCCAAGTATACGCGTACATTTTATTTTACTATACTATTATTTCCGCTTCGTTTTTGTTTTCCTACAGGCAAAAAATAAAGATTGCTAAAGCGCGCATACATTACATTTTATATATTCATTCTTTAGTACACATAATTAGCTAACAATGAATAATATAGATCATAAAAATAAAAAATATGTGTAATTTCAAAAAAACTAATAAATAATAGTCAATTCTATAATAGATTTATTATGTAAACTATACATTTTGACATTTAGTAAGAATGACAGTAGTATTCTATTCTTTTATGATTGTAGTAAACGATGTAGTAAACATGTAAAAATTTTCGTGTCTTATAATCTTCATTTATTCTTGAAAAAAAAAAAAAAAAAAAAAAAAATAAAAAAAAGAATTGAATGTAAATTTATATTTAATTCAGTGGTGTTTTTGATGTTAAAAAAATTTTTTTTAATTATTTTTTTTTGAATTTTTTTTTTTTTTTTTTTTTTTTTTTTTTTTTTTTTTTTTTTTTTTTTTTTTTTTTTTTTTAAATTTTTTTTTTTTTTTTTTTTTTTTTTTTTTTTTTTTTTTTTTAAAAAAAAAAAAAAAAAAAAATACTTAAAAATAGCATGTCATGTAAATTTATTCTTACTTCACTTCTCTTTTTGATCTTACAATAATTTTTATTCATTCTATATTTAGCGATTGAAAAACTAAAGTGATGAAAGGCGTTAAACTTTTATAAGAAATTGATGATGTGTACGAACAACTACTTGCTGATCTAATCGTTTCTTTTTTTTTGTTTTGTTTTCTTAACTGATCATCACCTTTCATTAAGTTTTATGTAGGCTGTATGATTTTTAATCCATTCATGAATGAGTAAATGTGGCTTATATTATTCTTTTTATTTATATAGATGAAAAAGAAGAAAAAAAACAACAATACCATAGAACATTTTTAATATTAAAATGAAAAATTTTCTTACAGTTATATTTAATAATAACTGAATGTTGATTTCTACACCTAAAAGAAAAAAAAACCCTCTCATATATTATCGTATTCAAAATGAGAGAAAATATTATTATTATTTTTTTCTCTTCTACTCTGTTTGTTTTTTCCTTCAATGTATTCATTTGATACGTGTATGTATTTTTTTAAACTCCGCCTTTTTCAGTGTGTTTAAACCATAGAAAAGAGAGAGAGAGAGAGAGAGAGAGAGAGAGAGAGAGAGAGAGAAAGTTTACTAGAATATAAAGTAGACGTATTATATATTCAACGAACTTATTTTAGTGATAATGATTATATAATTGATTGAGAAAAGTGTAAACAAATAAACGTTATTACTGATAAATAATGACAATCGAATTAGAACAATCACTAGTGAATTTTTATTGGAATCAATCGTCACGCTTATATAAGCGAAGGTAAAGTTTTTATAGATTAATGAATACAAAAAAAAAAATATAAATATATCTATATATAAAATGACATCTGGCTCCCATTGTTACTTCAAATAAAAAAAATGTTGTATTTCAATAGACGACATTTCATATGACTAATTTGTAATTTATTGAAAAGTTTTTATTTAAATAATTCTGTTAATTAACTTATTCTATTGTAATTAGAGAGTGTAGGGCGTGATTAAAATTTGTTTTTTGGTTACGATAATAGTGACGAACACACCTTTTTTTTATTCAAAAATTTCGCGATCACGGTCACGATGATCGCGAGACATTATTTTTTTTTCAGACTAAAATTTTGCATTTTTTGCTATAGATTTTTAATAAACATGGCGACTAATTTGATTATCTATTAGCAGTTACTAGTTGATACTGACCATCAAACTGTAGTTCTTTATGTTTGGTCAAACACATCTCGAGTTGTTAGCTCTTCGTTAAACGAAATCAGATCAATTTTCACAAGTCTTTCAAAACTATTGAACATTTAGAGTTTGTACAGTGGCATGTTCACATTTCTGAAATTAAAAATGAAACAAAAAAAAATATTTAGAGTAATAAAATTTTACTTTGAATGTAAACGACTGCGCTGGTTCAAAATCACAAAAAAAAGGATAATATGTTTTATGTACTAAATTATTAAAATTTATCTTTAACAATGTTGAGTTTTATCTAAGAGCTGAATTAACGACGTTTTTTTTTTATTATAACTGAGTTCAAGCGTAGTTGAAAAAACGTCGATATCTTTTTATGTGCTGATATTGCATTAAACATGATCAATCACTTGTGAAAAAAGTTTTATAAAATCGACTAGAATCATGTTCATTTTCACGAATACTTAAATTTCTCGTTTAATGTGCGCGCTGATCCTGTTTTTATACACGAGTTTGTACTACTGTTTTATCAAAGATAAAATTGATTTTCTGTTGTACTTTTTCGTAAAAAAACAACAACTGAACTAATTTTTATTGTTTAGGAGGGGATCAAACAATTCATTAACAATTTCAATTACAGCAAAACGTCAATACAATAGTCCACCGAATGACTGGTATATGTACATTCTGTTCATATGTAAAGGCTTTTTTGATGACACATTGAAAATAAAAATGATCGTTTAAATTTCGTTATTTCATTTATGAACTATCTCAAGAATGATAAAAGTCAGACTATATAGTTTTCTATTTTTAGTCCTCCTGATGAATACCTATTAACAGCAACAAGGCGGCTGACAATTGATGAACTTCATAAACATGCACAAGATGCCAGATTACTTTATCATGAATTTTGGGTAAGATTTCTATTATTAACAAAATTTAGTTGTAAATTTGTTTTTTTTTCCTGATTTTAGACAATACCAACAAATCATTTAGAAAAATTACGTATTTATGGAGCTGGTATGAAAAATAGATACGGAACAATTATTCCAAGTATGTTTGTTTAATACAATGAGTTTATTTGTTTTCGTAATCGAATACTGATCATATTTTTATTTTGTTTTAGATGAACATTCACGTGTCAAATTACCTGAACTACCTGGTGATACCGTTTCCTCTTATATCAATGCCAATTACATTCATGTAAGGCGTTTTTCTTGTTTTTTTATCAAAAGATGGACAGTAGAGTGAAATACATATAATAAAATTCAGCTGTTTTTTTTTTGCAAAGATTCGCCGTTTAATTCCTTACAAAATGGTATATAGAAGATGAAACTGGGACTTGAGATTCGATCTTGACTGAGCAGAAATCAAAATACTTCAAAACTTTCAAAAATTTAACTCAAAAACTGTATTTCGTCAGTATAAGTTTGATTGTATGTGTTGTGCTCACATCGAATAGGCCAAAATGTAGCCCTTGGAATTCTCTATCGAATGGTTATAAGGCGAATTTTCTGTCATTATTTCCGTGTTTTCAGTAGTTTCAGTTCAAAATTCAAAATTGTCGTCAGAAAATTTTTTATTTTTTTAAAGTTTTGGGGCATTTCGAGTTCTGTTCAATCAAGACGAAATCTCAAGTCTCAGTTTCATCTTCTATATACCATTTTGTAGAGAATTAAACGGCGAATCTTTTGCAAAAAAACAGCTGAATTTTATTATATGTATTTCATATACATAACGTCAATTACAAAGAGGGTCAAAACTTAGTACCCACCTTGATCAGAATATATATTGAGATATGCGATTCTACCGACACTAGATAACTAACGTTTATTGTTTAAGAAGTGTTAAAAGTAATTATGGTGTATTTTCTTGTTTAGGGATATGATAATGAACAACGAGCATTTATTGCAACACAAGGTCCAATGTCTAATACAATAATTGATTTTTGGAGGATGATTTGGCAAGAGAATGTCCCCGTGATTGTAATGATTACAAAACTATTTGAGAAGAACAAGGTATATTTCATTAGAAAAGATTTTTTTTTCTAACTATCTAAATTAATATTCACTTGTTTTAGTCAAAATGTGAACGATATCTACCTGATGATCGAGCTATTACTTACGGCCCGTTTCACATCAAAGTTTTATCAGTGTCATATAAGACAGATTTTGAAATACGGCGATTATGTATAGAAGTAAGTACATTGTATTTCTATTAATTAAATAAATCTTTTTATTTTATGTCAATTATATTTAGTTCGAAAATCAGACACGTGAAGTTGAACATTTATGGTTTTCTGGATGGCCTGATCATAGTACTCCCGATTTACCCGATTCATTAATTGATCTTGTTAAAATTGTTGATACTAGTCGTCTTGATCCAGAAACGTTGAAAGTAAAAGGTCCCGTTGTTGTTCACTGCAGGTACGTATACAACTAGAAGAAACGATAACTGTGTACATTATTGTTTTCTATTTTCAGTGCGGGAATTGGTCGTACTGGATGTTTTATTGCACTTGCTAATGGCATGAAACAATTGGATAGAGAGAACGTTGTTGACGTTGTTAGAATATTATGTCAATTAAGGAGGGATCGGTAAGAATATCTATTTAAATTTACTCTTACTTTATCTGAACTTCTTTTCTATTTTAGTGGCGGGATGGTACAGACTAATGAACAATATCAATTTTTATATCAGGCACTTAGTGAGTATGCTAGGACGTTTAAAAATTTTTGATATTTTTCTTTTTTAAGGGGTTGTTCTATTCTCTATTTTTTTTGTTTGACAATCTCGTCTTTTTTTGTCTCTAGTTCTATTTGTTAAAATTATATTTGTTATATGTCTTTTGTCGTTGTTATTGTTATTTTTTTTAAAAAAACACAGATATTTGTTATATGTACCAAAATTTTTACCAAAAAAAAAGAGAAAAATCGCAGGTACTATTTCTCTAAGTCATGTTCGTGTTGTTGTTCAACTACCCAAAGATCGTTTCCTTTTTTTGTTGGTCTAATCTCATCAAGTGTGTTTTTCAAAGAACAGTGAGTATGTTTTGTACACCACTCTGTTTTTCATTGTCCACTATTGTTGGATTTTTTTTTTTTTTGTCAGTTTTGTTTCAATAAAACAAAAAAAAATTGCATATACCGGCATATGATATTGTTGTTTCTGAAACCCGGTAGAATATAGATGTTCTGGTTTCTTTTTATTTTTTTCTGCGAACAATTTATTTGTATTAAACTTGAACGACATTATGTCGTTGGATTGTATTCTCTCTCTGTCTCTCTCCATATATATATATGTATATATATATTTATATATTTTTTGTTTCCTTGGTGAATATTTTTGGGTATGTGCGCTGTTCTTTGTCGTTTGTTTATAATAAGATGTTTCTAATAAAAGAAAATCTATTTTTTTCGGACATTTGAAGTAATTAAAGTTGAGATACAATATGAAAAGATTGGATGCTCTTTACAATCATAAAGAAATGCAAGAAAAAAAAGTAGATAATGATAATTAGTCATGGAAAAACGGTTGAGAACCAACAATTCTGATGTTTGCCTGCTATTAGAGAAATGCACATTGTGCATTCCACTTCCACTCTGAGGATTCGACTCAAAAAATTTCCACTTTCCTTCCATACTTGCTTTTTTCTCGTTTAACTTAATATATATTGACACTGCGACTCATGAGCGAATCTTTCGAGGTGTCTTCCTCCACAAATACCTATCGTTATAAATTTTTTGAGATGCAGTAATACAAAGGTGTTTGTATCTCAATAAACACAATAAAAAAGGGAGAAGTAAACAATATGAAGTCAATATCTTTTGCAAATTTCATACAATTTTTGAACATTTTCAGTCTCATTCATAAATGGACATGTTTTTTGTCGACAATTTTCGAAATATTTTCCAGTGATATTGTTGACTTCTTCTGATGTTGCTAGATATACAGGAGTTTTTGCGCTTTGCTCTGGTGTTTCATGTCCGCCAAATCCCATAGAATTACTCAGTTTTGATGATGCATCTCCTGGATGAACTACATTAACTAATATATCTTTAAAATGTTGTGCATAAGCACTGGTTAACATTCGATTCGCTTGTTTTGCTTGCCGATATGCTGTATTATTATTATATTTTCGTTGTTTGAATTCTAAATCGTTTAAATCAAGATCACCAGCCCAGTAGCTAGCTACGTTCACAATTCTAGGATGTTTCGCTTTTTTTAAATGTTCATGAAATGCATCCATCATCCAACAATAACCGAGCACATTGGTTGCCCATTGTAGTTCGATTCCATTCGATGTTTCTTGACGTTGGTTTGGAGCTGTAGCATGGTTATTGATCAAAACATCGATGGGCTCATTTATTTCTTTTGCAAATTCATAAATATTATCTTTCATTGACAAATCAACGGCATATCCTCTCACCGCTTCATTATTTGTTGATCCCTTAATACTTTTAATCACATTATCAAGTTGTATCTTATCTCGGCCGACACAAATCACTTGATGATCATGATTTTTGGCTAATATATTCGCTATCGCCGAGCCAATCGTTCCGTAAGCACCCGTGATAATGAATGTTTTTTTTGACATTCAATACGTATCTAGAATAGAGGCAAAAATCTCTGGAAATTGGCGTTTTTTTCTCGTATACTCAATAAGAGAAAATCCATCAAGCCACTTACACAGAGTAATTACATCCTATGTTTTAGATGTGAGCGACAGTATGATTATTCGATACAAGTACTTCCATCAATAATCAAAGTTAGAAAAAAATATCTTTTTTATAACTGACTTTCCCTTACCAAAGATTTGTTTAACAAATTTCATTGTGTTTTTATCATTATTTACGATATGTAGCAACTGATTATATTTATCTTCTTAATTTGTCTTTACTTTCAGCAATTTTCTTAGTTGTAGTCAAGTAAAAGTCATTTGGATTGTAATTGTATTTGACTCTTATGTTATATATAAAACAGCGCATATAGTCTGATTTTCTTGTTTTATCTATAACATGGAATGGCATCATATAACTTTTTCATCAAAACTAACTTATTCGTATTTTATACAAAAAATGATACAAATCTAAATCTGGATTGTTGATGAAGCTAGAATCCCAGTAGCTAGCAATGAATCTGGATTGTTGATAAAGAAGTTTTCTTTCTTCGTAGAAAAACTTTCTGTTAAAAGACCAATCGTCGTCACAGATTTTTCGTGGTTACTCATTTTTCTAATTATTTTGTAGGAGAACTTGGAAAAAAATTAATTTTTCAGATGGATTTGTACTTCATTCTGCTGTGCTCTCTTACCCATTTATAAGGAGATGAATAAGGCCATCGAATATATTTGAATGAGAAGTTATCATATACTTTTGTTTTCTTATTCAATTGAATAAAAACAGAATCGAATGATGAAATGCAGAATTAATTCGTTGTTATAATTGTATTTAGTATTGTATAACTTATTAAAGACAAATTAATTTTGAGCAGTAATAAGGATTAAGATTGGCATGTTGTCTATTGAAATGTAACTGTGATAGATTGGTTCAATCCATTACAGGTGACATCATTGATACCCTCCTAATGAGGATTTGCACTACCTATACAAGGACGAATATCATATCCTGTCGAACAATAACATGCGGCACCATGTATACTTAATTTTCATTTCACCACAACTGCCTGCTGCCCACGGTCGACCATTTGTGGTTATTCGTCCGTAAACTACAGAGTTTTTTAAAGCAGCCAAAACATTAACAACAACAGAATCAGTGACAGTGACATCAAATTGGTCATTTGTACCATTCAGATGTAACAGAGTGTATTTTTATATGTTAACTGTGTTCGAAACGTGTATTCCAGTAAAGATATTTTGAGATTAAATCGTGTTGGAAAATTTGATTGAAATTCATCATTTCATAACGTTCGATTATTGTCAGATTTACATCATATTCAAACTTTTATAGAACAAAAGAAAATATTTGAACGAAATAAGTATGTACCATGTATTTCTAATTCAGGATTCTTTGCTAAAAGATGTGACAGCTGTTTACTGGAAACTTTAAGCTAATGCGGCTCTTCATTTTAAAATCATTTTACGATGTTTAAACCATCTCTACTTTTTCCTAAAACTGCCCATACATAGTACAGATCCAAAATTAAAAAACTTAGTGATGTACGTCCTCGATAAACGCCTACGAAAGTTCTCGATTTATTTACCGAGTCTTTGTTCGAGACGAAGTTCTCGGTTGCAACTAAATGTATGCGCACAAGTAAACCAAGAACGTGACTTTAGGTTTTCAAATATTTTTTTAATAAAGTTATTAATCTGTTAAATCTTCGCCACAGCCAAAAGGTTATGCAATGCTGCACGGAAGGCTATGATTTTTAAAGTTTCTGTGCCTTGACGACCATAAAAGAACCAAGATTTCATGCGATTTTAATATCATTCTTGAATAAGTATTGAAAATTTTCTCACATTTAATTAGTTTCCGGACCAGTGATCGCGTGACAAGATAGATTGTCCATTTCCGACTCAAATGATCATACAACTATTAAGAAACTATTATCGTGAAAAATAGTAACCTGTTCTATTTGCTTTTCAAACAATAAACAACAGCGATCATGAACTAAAAACAAATGAAGACGAACTTTATTAATAATCAATAAAAATCAAGTTAGCAAGACATGTAATTTCACGACATTTGTGGACTGGAGATTCGCAAAAAGAAAGTCCGATTCTCCATCAAACAATCAAAACCTTCTTCGACAGAAACAAAAAAGTAAAATAATCCAATGTAATATTCGTTATCCATCATTAGGTGATGATTTTATTTTAGTTAGTTGAAAATTCAAATATTTTCAATTTTTATTGGGAAAGTCCAAAAAATATATGACTGGTCCCCTAAGCGAATTGTAAATCTTGCTTATTAGACAGCAACTTTCCAAGCTCGATCAAGAATAATTGTAAAACAACTGGAAAAAGCAAAGCCAAAAGCTGCGTGTAACAGCACTTCCAACACTTCATCTTGAAGAAAACTCATTGCTTTAAATTTTTATATCAAAAAGCTTTTATTACATCCGTCATCAGAGATTCACAAAGAAATTCATAAAAATAAAAAACTTTTGCCGAGTGTATGTTTATTCTCATCTACACCATTTCAAATTCTGACTCAACTAAATGAACACATATGTTTAAATAAAGATGCCACTTCTGCTCTAAATCAGATCGATTTCAATTGGATATCCACATGTCACCATCTTAAACTGTAAGCTCAATAATCTGGCCCGACACGCAGACGCGGCGTCGTAAAAAAATAATTTCATTTAGAGAAGTTCTCGGATCGGACTTTTACTCGTTTATTGATGGTAACAACTTTAACCAAAACAGAATCCCTCAAAGATTTTAAAAAAGAGACAATAACAAAAAAGTTCTTGAGAATTTACGTTGCCACTAGACATGTGCGGTAACGGTAGAAACGTGTTACCGTTACCGATGCTTCGGTAACAACTTCAGATTTTTACCGCGGTAATTTGCAATCGGTAAAAAATCTCAACATTTTACCGCGGTAAACTTCGGTAAAAAAATCCTTTACCGTTACCGCTCATGCCTAGTTGCCACCGGCTAAAAAAATTAAGTTTTTATTGCGTTAACATCTCTACCAGTATCTCAACTAGGAGTGGCATATTACTGTTACTTTTACGAGTAATCCAAATATTGTATATATTTCTATTACCAGTAACAGTAATACTTTTCAGTTTTACTGTTGCTAGTAAAAATTTTACGAACATTTCTATTACCAGCAACAGCAAAACTGAAAAGTATTACTGTTACTGGTAATAGGAATATATACAATATTTGGATTACTCGTAAAAGTAATAGTAATGTGCCACCCCTAATCTCAACAGTTAATACGAAAGAACCACGCGAAAAAATGATCAACGTTCATCTCTGCAACTGGTGATTTAAAACGGTCATTTGTTACTAATAAGCGTCTAATTACCTCTGTATCTTCCTTCTGTTTTTATTTTTGAATCATTTCAAAACCCGTTAGTTAACGTTTTCATTGGCGTTCTCATTCAAAAAATGCGTTTTCTAACGCGTTGTGAAATTCCAAAATACGCCTTTTTTTGTCAACTTTTTTACCGCTGGAAACTTGTCACATCTCTCACGAGGGAACCTCTCGAGGTGATTAAAAGCTTTTAGACTCAGACTATTTTCATCATGTAGGGAATAGTCAGTAGTGAAAAACCCCAAGTTGGTTTGGGCCCATGCGCCTTTTTGACGGAGATATGAG